AGCGAAAAATTTTTACATGGAAATTGTAGATCTCGTCGTCCTCTACAAGAAAGGTCTGATGCAATTTTTCCGTATGTCCAATGGTTTGGGAGTTATTGGCCAAAAACGAAAATTTGGAAGAAATTGAAGGGGTACCCCTTGGAAAAATCTCGGAAAAATCGAAAATTTTTTTTTGTTGTTTATTATTAGCAATGTTCTTCCGACGTCTGATTTCTTTTTAAAAAATGCGTTTCTAAAGTGCATAAACTTTTGGGATTGATTGTATAGCCAATACATTCTTAAACTAAACATTGAAACGAATTTTGAATATTATACACAATTCAATAAATTTTCTATTAAAATCGGCACGAATTTTCCGGACAACTCAATACGGTGGTTCATGAAGAGATTCACTTAAGTCCACGGAAAAGCCTTAAAGGATCGCAGTTCGATCATCGTGACTGTGTTTGGTCAAACGTTCTAGCGAATATTGTGCAGTTTCTCCGGGCCGAAAAAATTGCGTAACCTTCGAGCTGCGTACACACGCGGTGTAGAAACGCGGGGCAAAAATAGGCTGATGTTACACGCCGGTAAACGTTGAGATTCGAACGCGCGTAAAACCGAGTCTGTATGCAATAAAGCTGGTCTAGGTTTACAGGCCACCCGGTGAAAGGATAACAGAGCGTGGCTCAGCGATACGAATTTTTCGCAAACGTCGACGAAGTTCTGAAGAAAGAAACGATCCTCTTAACTTTAACTCCGCCGGATCGATGAGTCATTTATGCTAGTCCTCCGGCCACATCATCGAGATCATCCGGGGGATCCGGATTACACCGCGCGCATATACATGCTCACGCGTGCGTTACAACGTGATTCGCGTTATAGAACATACGTATTACGCAACGTTGTCCCATTTATTTCGTAGCAATTCACACCCTCGGTACAAATATCACGCGAAAAGGCGATAACAGGTGAGAAAGAGACATAACAAATCATAGCGTACATCGTCGACGTCGATACATGCGTCTTGAGGGCCGATCGGAAACAGAAATCCGGTGCATGAAATCTGCGAACAAGTTGCAGCATTATGTACCAATTATTTCTCACGCTACGGGTATTTATGCGGCGCGAAACAAGCCTTCACCGAACATTTCGCCTGTACTTACACACGTAAAACGTTCACGTCCGTCGAAACGATCGATAGAAAAGTCGCGTCAGTCCTTGCGTACAGCGCAGCGCGCTCGCGAAGAAAGGAAATTGCTGAATTGGCCGTCATTTCGATAAGTACGCGCTGAATAACGAAATGATCGTAATTTTCGAGGTGGAGTACAATTCATGCGTGTCGCGATATCTCTATTATCCGCCACGGGATTGCTGAGAGTTTCTAACGTTCGGCCGACCGCGAAATTGTCGCCCGCGATTTCGCTCGGCTCGACTCGCCGAGGAATCGGGAGGAAGCAGGTAGTAGGTCCCTTAAAGAGGGACACGAGAACGGCGGAGAGCCTCGGGGCCCTCCTCCTCGATACTCGGGACAGCGTGGAATGCGAAAGCGTGGGTTCGGCTTGAGACGCGATCTCGATTCACATCGGAGCGGACAGAGGCCGCGGGCTAAATGTATACGCGCGAGCGTGGAACGGTACACCGCGCGAGCGATCGCTCAGCCGATCGGCTCTCGTAATACGCTGTTGCTCGCGTTATGTGCGCGTACGTATTTGTACAAGTGCGTTTTCACTGTTCTTCAAGCGGAGAGTAAGTATTCATGCGCGCACGGCTCGGGACTCGGAGAGCTGGAAAGAGAACGAGAACCTTGGTCGATTACGTTGCTTCTCTTACGGCGGCGTATCCACGAGCCGAAAGAGAAGAGGGGATATTTGTACTTTCTCCTGAATCGTACCATCCACGATATCTTATTCTAATCTCGTGCACTCTCGTTGTTATTGATAACGAAAGCGATAGCATGAGAAACAACGACGCGTGTGAAACAGTGTCGCTGGAAGATGCGAGAAGTGTCTCAAGTAGTTAATCAAACTTAAAGGAACTAAAAATAGTTCCTTTTGGTCTGTTCACGTTTTTCTCTTTCACAGTCAACATTCTTTTCTTAAAACTTCACTTCCTTATCGCGTTATCTGTACAATTTCGAGATGACTAATGCGCGGAAAAACCAACATTAAAAATGTACACAACTCATTTCGATTATTATCAACTGAATCTGTTACTATGTTACATGCTTACTTCTATTGTAGACATTTAAATTTCCAAGAAAAACTTTTATATATGCTACAATTAGCGTCGGCTCACCGCGTCAAGGGATAAAACGGTAAAGTAGCCGTATAATTGTCCGCATAATAAGGGGTTGCTTTAAGGAGGAGCCCCGGGTATCTAAAGCAGTTATTTCTCGAGGTAACAATGCAGGAACCCTGGTGTGGTACATAGCTGAAGCCGCATTGTTAAAACCGCTCTGAATGGCATAACCCGTCTCAGATGAAGCTGAATGAGGTAGCCCGAAGGCAGGTTGCTAGTCCCCAGAAACGTACATATGATGACTGACTTAACTGGAGTGGATAGAGAGCGTCTGGGTCCACGGTATAAATAGATGCTACCACTTACCGTCAATTCAAACAGGGAACACAAGACTCGGACTGCTTGCTAGTCGCGAGCGAATATACGAAGCCTCGGGCTCGTCACGGAACGGCACCGATAGATAGCTAAGTGCCAGTCAGTGGCATAACTCGTGTTTCAAGGTTGAATCGAGAACAAAACTAATTTCGAGAACATATACATCACCGTACGTCTTGTATCGTTCATTTTCACCCTTGTTGAGTAACAGGGTGGAACAGTAGGGTGAAATACTTTTTATGTAACACCAGCAGATCAATTTGTTTTCAATCAATCAAGAAAAATCTATGACATGCGTGTCTCATTTAGATTGGTTGGTTACGAACCACTGACCTGCCAGCTATGCAGTTGATTAAATAAACGAAAGAATGTCTCCTCTTCAAAGAATCAATCTGGTTAATCGCGAACTATAAAACCTATCTCGCATGCTACTGTCTAAGCATCATATCTCAATATTCCCGAGGAATGAATTAATCTAGTAGATTGCAAGCATGGATAGTAAGATAAGAACGCGATCGCGCGATAAACGGAACACTTGAAATTCGATGCTACGCCCGTGACGTACCCTACGTACTATTCAGAGTACCATGACCCCCAATTACGAAGATCGGAGTTAATCGTTCTTCATGTCAGGCGAGTGCCTGGCTACGTAGTATATTATATATATGTCGGAGCATTGAAAGCGAGGGAAATGACCAGCCACGATGACTGGAAGCGCCAGGAGAGTACCGTTTCCGGAATAATGTATCGTTGCGACTGCAAATATGCACGCGCGTCTCGTGCATCGAGCGAACCGTTAAGAATAATCCCTCTGCAAAAGTTCCAAGCGCTAATGCGTTCCAAAGTCCAGACAGATCCGTGATTCATAGCGCGTGAAAACGAATCGGTCGCGAAACGAGCAGATTGAATTTTTTCCACACTCGGAATATATTTCTCGCAGTCGAAAGGAAAGTTTTATTCTGAAAGGCGGATGAGTCGGCGCGAGCAATTTTTAGCGAGAGTTTAGTGAATCACGAATCGTATAATCGTAACAACGATCGCCGAGGAAAACGGTTATGAGTTCCGGAAAGTTGGACATGCTCGATTTGCCGGATCCGATGTGCTAATAAAGCGGTAGCTTGCACGCACGGTTGAACTTTATATAAGCCGAAGACGTCGTCTCGACGGCTCGTTAGCGGGTGGAGTTATTAAGTGACTGCTCGTTAACGACGGAGAAGGGAACGTACCGGAACGTACTCACCGTTACTACGATCTATCGATAAGTTGCTCGCAAAGAAGCGCGAACATTAATTGATGCATTAAAAAAATAGTTATGTGGTCGTTTCCGACTTCACTTTACGAAGGAACATAAAAACATATGATAACAAACTGCCTGTTCAACTGTGCTTTAGGTGTTTTAGATAAGAATTGGATAAATCGACTCTACAACTGCTCGACTCGGCTCATGTATCGAGCAGTTTATCCTTCATTTACTCCCACAAATTCCTCGTGCATTAAAATTTCGATTTTGCACGGTCGACCCGAAAAATCCTTGGACTCGTTTGTGATATCGATGGCTGGTTCGGTTCGAGCGGCCGATACATGCTGGCCGCGCACGAACCGCCAGGCCGAAGCGGTAATTGATCGGCACGAAGTCTAACACGCGGCATTACATAAAACCCGTTTAGGCGCGCATGAGTCTGTCTTATCCTCTCGGTCAATGCCACGCAGCATTAAGGTGAATACAAAGATGGTATCTGCCGTGGTCGGCCGTGCGACTCTTTGCCTCACCTTGACCGTTCGAGTGATTTTGCTGCGGCGACTGCGGCTGGCCCTGCGTCAATATAATTTGACTCTCCAGCTGCTGAAGCTCAGCCTGTAGCTCGTTCAATTTACTATTCGACTTCTTCACGATCGTCGCCACGTCGGACAGCGCTTTACGATCGGTCGCCACTTCCCTCAGCTTCTCGGCGCCAGCTTTTATCTTCAACTCCTGCAACGAAACGAGCATATAATTGAACACGTGAACATTTTCGTATAAAAATTTCGTGCATCGATCATCACCAAGAAATGGACGCGGTCGCCAAATCGCTCCGGAAAGCAAAATCTCGCTCCAACGGGATTCATTCAAGCACGATCGTTATCATTGATCTATCGATTGCTACTTATTGTTAGAGCGTGTCCACTCGCCACTCCTTTCCCGGAGCAAATGAGACGTAAAATTATACACGGGTCCCATGCCAACTATCTTTTCATTCTATTACCTCCCATTACATTTATTACGACTTTTCCCAAACGAGCACACCTGACCAAGCACCGTATCATCTAATCACAACCGACCCGTGAATGGCATTTGTGTCTACGAGTTGTATTTAATGAAATAATTATCTGTCTTCCGGAAGAGAAGTAAAATGTTTTACTCGGTTTGTCTAGATACACATACACGTGTCATACAAGATTTATGAATGCTTTTACACGCGCAAGAGTACCTCCACAGAGAAGACGTTACGTAAACAAACGATAATGCACGAGTACAGGCTTACGATTACACCGACATTAACTTGCAATTATACTTTTTGCCAGAATACGACTGGTTTCAAGTAATTACTAAATTGCACAATTGCACGTAAGTACTTTGTAGAACAAGAATAAAACCGCCTTGAACATTTGCTATTTTTCCCGTTCCCGGCCACAATTTCGATATTTTAAAATCAGCTACTAATTGATCCTTGCTTAATAACAAATAACCCCGCCGTTCTGTAAATCATCCCGCGTAATAAGCCCCGTCACTGCGAAGACACCTGTGTTCATTCCGCTGTAACGAAGCGACTCCGTTATTGATTTACGATCAACCGGTCCCGAAAAGGTGCTCTTTAAACACTAGCGCTCGTGGCATACGCAGTAAGGGCCCGTAATTTCTTATCTCATTGCTGCTCCGCGAAGGAGAAAGAGCGAGACCCGGGTTCTTCCTTTTTTCTCTTTTGGAAATAAATTCCGGCCCGGATCCATTAGTCACGTGGATCGTGCCGGTTTTCAACGGGCGTGCCACAGATCGACGGTGGCCTGACACATATCGGATTTCTCTTTTCCTCCCTTGGCCAGACAGCAAAGGAGAGGTGCCACGGAGGAGAGGCTACACGTTCAGCGAGCAGCGAAGAACAGAGAAAAGGATATACGCCTTCTCTGCCGTACGAGGGATTATACTCGCGGGAGTCGTGCTACCGTGTACATATCGCGGTAAAGGGAAAGAGAAGTCCCGGGAAGAGGTGCAGGGCTTGGAGAAGGACGAACAGAAACTCGACATACCTTGCGTATTTCTCGACGTATGTGCTCCCGGAGCTCGTCGAGACGAGCCGGCAGGGGCACCTGGTCACTGCTAGCCACTCCATACTTGTTCGACAGTTCGTACACCGGATGCCTGATGTAATCGCCCTGAAACAGATACGAAATTCGATTATTCGTACGATTCTTCTTCTATCTTCGTCCTACCCTCGACAACGTCGTGGAACGTACGTATTAAAAACAGAGAAAGCAGAACGATAAATTATTGAGATTAGCCAGTTCGCCGAACGCATTTATCGCTGATTTAATGGACGCTGATATTTTTGTTTATCATTTAAGTAGACACACGTAATGCGTAAAAACGGAATATATAACGCCATAATTTTTTTACACTGTCATAATAAAGCTGAAATTATCGTATTCAACCCCGTTAACGCGGCCGCTAATAAGTACCTATGTTTGCGTTTGCCATCCGCCGTCCTACGTTCGCGTCTATTTCGATGCCGGTTAATCCTGGCAATGACATTTGCATTTTTCCGGGAACGTCGAAGAAGAACGATTGTCGGATGGATGGGACGGGTCTCTGAATTTCGCGGTGAAAAATATCCACGGAATATAATACACCTCTTGCGGCGTCGCCGGAAATTGCCTGACGCGTCGTGGCGGATGTGCGCACCGCTGTCGGCTCGCTTGGCCACGGTAATAAACTCGCGCCCGACCGCGGGAAATATTGATCTTAAAATAAGTATCGTTCCCAGTATCGGTACCCGTTGTATGCCCACTAACGGGCCGCTAATTAATCGTCGGATAAACGCGTTCGACTCACCGACGCCATCCTGCTATCTCATGTCCCGCAATTAATATGTTTAAACGGAACAGTTGAAATTATTGTATTCCGACGTATTTAATAATTTATGAAGCTAACTCTAACATATTCTATTAACGAGACTAAAGTTCGCAGCGATAATATTCAATGCGATGTAGAACTTTGTCCGAGGACAATTTGGAGTAAACGAGCTCCTGCCTGATTTACAATGCAAGACATATATCTGGTATGTAGATTTAGGGAATGGTAGGGTGTATTTTCAGATCAGTAAGGGATGAAAGTCCAAAGATGAATTGTGAGTAATGAATGAAGTCATAGGATCGGGGTTCACGGATAAGTAAGAATGAAATCACCCAGGGATGAATGTGGAATGTTACAGTTAAGTCCCGATAACATCTGTGATAACGTTGGATATACAAAAAATAAAAGCAACTGTAGACATAGCATGCGAATTTGTAGAGACCAATTTTTCTTTTGCTAACTGAGTCTTTGCCGGACTTTCATTCGCGTATCTTCGGTTGTAATCGTTTGCCAATGCGCGATATTATTTATACTATGCACGAACACAATGTGTGCCTGGAACAAATATTGACATAGTATCATGTTCCGTCTAGGTACCTACGGTGAAATGATTTATCAATGACGCGCGTTAGACATTTAACATTAAGTGCAGCCCACGTAGGTACATTATACACACGTACCAAGAAGGGAGTAATGCAGCTCCAAAAATATTTGGTTTTGCAAGCCTTTGTTACTGGCAAACACCGGCACACGTACGACTTCTTTCCCTCGTTGCTCACCGAAATAAACGACATTGTTCAACTTTCCTATTGAACACCGAACATTACAAATAACATTACGCAACTGACGATAAATGTATTTCACCGGTGTTCACAGAGATCGCGTATTATTAATGTTTCGCTATTCCTCGAGAAATATAATTCGTATTTGTAAATGCTCGTCCCACGTAATTGGCACAACGAAACGGATAAATATCGATCCAAAGCGATAAATCTTCGGTGGTATCGCATCCGGTCTGTACTTAATTGTAAGCCACGCTCTACAACCACCTGTTGCGGAAAACTACGATTTTACGAAACGTTATTTTCCTTCGCGACGATCTTGCAATCTTCGCGAACGTGTCACTTTCCCGCCACGCTACTTTTCCTACACAGTTCAATTTCCGTGAAATTCATACGCACACAGGGACGTAGAACAACGAAATGTAATAGCGGTCTCTACGTATCGTGCTTATTAGTGGGCCTCTGTAGAATGACTGAAGACATTTGCTGATGCTTTATCTCTTATCGTCAACGAAGCGATAACGCCGATTTTCAATAACGAAAGCATTATCCGGCCTCGCCGAGCATAGAGCGATGTATCATTTACCTTTGCCTTAAATCCAATTACCAACCGAATACTAAAGTTTGCATTAGATTCCAAGCTGTTTAAGCTGTATAGTGTCACAGATTCAGGAGCAACGGTATGAGATCAGGCCGGCAAACACCGGTAATCTTTACGGCAAATAATATGAGTCAGAAGTACCCTATTTTTGTGACCGTTCGCCACGCAAGGCTGACACACCTACAGGTTGCCCAAGCCGAAACTTTGGCGACACCGGATTCCAGAAATAGTTCGTGCATTGCGCTGAAACACCCTGCGCGATTATTCTTGCAGTTAAATCCGATCACGACACGATTCCAAAGGAGATTATTCAATCATCTTCTCCAAAGTTGCAAAGGAAACAAGATTTTCTAATAGTTAGATGTTCACGAAACTTCGTAGTTCGCGTGTTCAGCACAATGGCAATTTTCGTCACGGGGACCTAAAATAAAACGATCTAAGGTGGGTGAATCAATTTGAAGAAACAACGAGCCCCAAGCAAAAGCTGTGTGCGTTTGACACACTGACGCATGAGCTATTTTCACGGATTCCGTAATATACGTGCCATGCATAATAATCCCGAGGGGTCAACAATCGTCACGAGCATCGTTATAACAAAGATAAAAATCAGCTCACTATTAAAACACTTACAGATATATCGATCTTGAAACGGTATGAGATATGTAGATCTAAATATTATTGTTTAAAAAGCTACATAGTTAAGGAATGCCTAATACCTGTCACGGTGATATATTCCCATCCTTGATTCTCGACTGCAGGAGAGAGTGGAAAAGTTTCACCCTTCAAAAATTCTAATCATAGCCATCTATACCGTTTATGATTAATCGCCGCAAGAAAATAGAACCAACGATCATATAGTATGCTACACGTAGGCCGACTAGTGTGTATCATTTTATATTTAGATTACACACAACCGAAAGCAACTCTTCATTAAAAATTTGCGAGATTGCTGTATAAAAATGTTTTACAGTCAATACATACAGATCGGTTACGGTTATCATTAAAAATAACAAAACTAAAAGTGCAGCATTACATTTGCTATGTATTTGTTAAATAATGAATCGAAGACTGAAATTGCCGGGAGATCTATTCGTGTGAGTTCGAATAGAGGAGTTGAAGAAACGAACCGGTAATCATCGATGATGGGATTCGTTCGTGACGCGATAAGTAAAGCCAGCGTTTTCGCAGCTATGCTGTACGATCAGCCGCTGTCAGAATCATACTCAACCGTTTCCCGATTATCACTTTGACATACGTCTCGAACTTATACACCTATGCTGGTAACGTTGGAAAATACCACTTGCCAATGGGAAACAGGTGCTACGAGGGACTGGTTCGAAAGTTCTTCCAACTACTTAAAGGATTTGAACCCGATGTATCAGGTGTGTGGCCGAGCCGTCACGCCTCGTTTAACGTAAACTCTGTCAAAGCATTGATAATCGCGGTCCACAAAGAAATCGCCAATCATCGCCGTCGCGTTTGGAGAACGTTCCCTCGAGTATCGAGACAAGTGCGAGGTACGCGTTGCCGGGAATAGATTAGAAGAAGGGCGAACGAGCGAGCACGCGAAGCGGCTGAATTACGCCCAAAGCGATCTTTTATTATGGCGGCTGGAATGATCGTTCGGGCGGCAACCAACCGCGCACCAGTTCGTAAAGAGAGCGTGGATGGACCTGCGACTCACCTGATAATAGCTTGATTCCGCCATCTTGGACACTATACTCCACTCACTCACTCACTGCTTTCTATCCGTCCTTTGTGTATGGGACGGCGAAGTCCATTGTGTTTACACGAGTAACGTACGTTGCACCGTCGGCCTGGTCGAGCGTGTCTGCATTTCGTGTATTTGACACGCGCGTCCGGCTACTGTCCTCGCGAAACGTCCCCGATGCAGGTATATCGCGGATAAGAAGCGACACCGAGGTTACCACCACAGAGATGTATGAATGAAAGACGCGCGGCTCGTGAACGAAACGCAAACACGAGCGCGTTCCACCGCACCACCACCGCACCAGACTGAAGACTGCTGAAGACTGACGGCGGAAAACGCCGGGCCAATCGTGGTCCAAAGACGCGCGCACTGCACCTCCACCACTATCGTTAAAGGTGAGTTCACGATGCCTCTTTCACGTCATTCAAGGTGAAACGGTTATCGTCCATTGGCCGTTTCTTATAGAACCGCGAAACGTGTAAACTAAATGCCTGCGGTCTTTCGAAGGCTGATAAAAAGTCATAAATTGTGCATAGAATCAGGAGGAATAAAATTTAACCTTGTCGGGTTAACTGGATGTTAGGCAAAAAATCTTACAGCTGTATTCTGTACATAAGTTAATAAATTTATTAAAAGTTATCTTACAATCTTATTCAGCACATTCATTACTCCTAACATACACATTTAACTTCCTTATCGAAATCTTCTCTCCAGATAGATATTTAATTGGAAATCAAAGTCTGCAAAAGATCTTCGGGTGTCCTTGAGAACAAACCATTTGGATTTTGATATAAATTTTTCGGATCATGACAAGCTTCATATAAATGTTTATAAATAGCTCCAATAACTTCAAACGAGCGTCTTTGTGTTATCGAACGATGATTATTGCTTTGTAGCAAACTTATTTGAGGCAGTAGCAATACATCTGGCATCACTAAAAATGCCTCTAGCTTATTCTAAAAAACATTAGAATATTAGAACATAAATTATGAATATTTTCCTCTTTTACAATAAAGTTTAAACTACGTACTGTAAATTCTTTTACACTTAAAGGGTCCATTCCAGGTATGGAAGACAATGGACCCTGTTCATGACCTTGCAAGATAGTGTAAATCGAACCCAGATTTAAGTGTGCAACTAATGAACTAGCTTGTTCCGATGTCAGTGTGTCTATTTGTGCATCAGACTGAGCTTGCAATCTTTCTAGCCTTTGATCCATGTATTCATACAATGCTAAAGTAGACTGTATTTGATGCATACAATTTAAAAGATAAACAGCCATGTCTACCGTGGGCAATCTGGATGCTGTTTCATTGACTTCTTGCAACAGTGGATCAATTATACAAGATACTATCTGTAAAACATTTAATTTATAAACAAAAATAAAATAGTACTTATTATAACAATACAAACCTGTTGCATGTCCTTTTCTCTATCTTCTGCAATGCTGACCACCGAAAGAATTTCATTAAGGAGCGACAATAATCTGGAAACAGATGGAGCTGGCACTAAATCGTTTCCAGGAGGTTCTGCACGTTCACCAAGCGCAATGCGCGTTTCTTTCTGAAGTCTGCTAAGAAAGCTTCTCTCGCTTAATATTAATAAGTCCGTTAATGTTGAATCCAAGGTACTGTCCGGTATTACTTGGTGAATTATACTGTGATAAAATCTGAGGAGTGTTGTTACTGAATACAATATCGTCGCCGGTGCATCCATAGAAACTACATGCTCTATCCTTGACTTCAAAGGATGACAAAGCCCTTCTGTGATATTACTTAAACATTGTTTAATTTGGTCAGACACATCTAAAAAATTTAATAAATAAGAAAACTATACAGAAAAGAAGATTCATACAATTCCTACCTGATTTATCACAGCCTTTTACTAAAGTAAGAATATTCTCCTTTTCAATGGGAATAGCTTGATGTAACCATGCAAGCATATCACCAATATATCTCTTGGGATCATTTGCATGCATTTCAATAGGATTAGGCGTACTAACGTATCCTTCTCCTAATGTTAGTGCATCTATAAAAGATCCCGCTAAAGCAGTTCTCCTAGCTGTACAGTATTCATCTAAAACGTACCTAAAAAGAAAATAAGGTAATGTAAACTAACTGAGACTTATAGACATTTTCATATGATTGATCCATTGTAGATACGTACTTAAATAAAACCGGTCTATCTTGTAATTTATTCATTGCTTTAATTAATAATGGTGCTAAACGTTCATTTTCAATATGTTTACACTGATTTTGAATCCATCTATACAGCCTTTCAAGGGCTGCTTCTTGTAATAGTGTCATTCTCTGCATAATATCTAAACCTAATGTTTGATACCCTGATTGCATCAGCACTCTACAATTGCTATGGATCTCCTGTAATTGAAACAATATGCTATCAGTTTATCTTTAGCTAAAGTAGTTTTAATAGCTTCAATTGCTATACCTGGACATGATTAACTACAGAGAAAAAATCTTCTGTGATAGGTGATTCCCTGGTAGACCCATGTAGAATAGTTTGTTCAGCTGGTGTCAATTGAAAATTCGCAATAAATGCATTTGCAATTTCGTGATGCATAGATAAAATCCGACTGAAAATTTTAATAAAATACTATATAGTTTTTACTTCTTTTTAAGAAATGATTCATTCCTGATTCGCTTTTACCTCTCATTCTGAAGTTTTGCAGTCTGCTCTATGAGTTGTGATGTCTGAGTTTTTGTAGTTTGCAACCGATTTGTCATGCACTGAACTGCAGTATTCATAGCTAATACATCTTGATATATGTCATCTAAACATGATTTCACTTCCCTGAAGGCAGATAAGAACTCTTCATTTATTGCAAGGCTCCTTCTCTCTATTTTACTACGTAAATTTCTGCGAGAGTTCAATGTGTTTTCAGTAAAGAATGTTGACAACTCCTTTAAAGCTTCTAATGTATCCTAAAAAATGATCGGAAAATTAATAAATCGTGGTTAGTTATAATTATTTTACGAAGAAGCGTAATGTAAATACCTTGTCATGCTCAACTCTTGACTCGAGCAATTTATTAACTCTCCGAACTAAAGCACTGTTAGTATTTTTCTCAGTCATTTCGATTATATTAATCTGTTCTTGTCAAATTCATTGAAATCTTTAACCTGACTATCTCAAACGTGTCACGTAGCAAAAACAACTTAGTATGCCATCCTGCCAGTGTGCGGATCTCTATGTGCGAATGTATGTGAAGCTTTATGCATAGTGCAACTCCACGCACGTTTGTATTATAAATAAATAATATACAGACTTATAACCACATTACTGATCACTTTTGAATAAATCTAGCATAAAGATTACAGGTGTCTGATCATAATAAATAGCATAGAATAAATACTGTGCAATGTGTAAATGCAGTTGCGATTTCGCATTGTGTGCATGAACGCAATGTGGCTTTCCGTCGTTAACGGATGGTATATTTGCAAACTTCCAATATGTCATGTAAACTTTATCCACTTCCGTTTATGAAATGAATTGAAAGTTTGAAAATGTCATGATATTGTGAAATAAGCGATTTACAAATTATGATACTACACCGTGAACACACTGTAGATAGAAAGGAATTGTAAAACAGAACGGTGTACTTTATTTATTTGAATTAAGGTTAGTGTTTTCATTTAATTAACACATATGTAACGTTAATGTTGAATTTCTACAAGTCTTTCTCTCTGGAATGTTAGTATTATATTTATTAATTAATGTAAAATCTTAATAATATTGCTTTCATTATGTTTTCTTTGTCATTTATTTTTTATGCATAGAGTGATATGTGTATTCCTATATTTAATTTCCTATTACATGATAGTATGCTTTATCTTGTTTGTATACTCTTCTATTTCTATTGTATCCAATAAACAATATTCTGTCCAAAATGTATATTGCTTTATGGTGTAGATTTATAACAATTTGATTTCAATTCTTTTTAAGTATGCATGGTTTTATTTAGTTTCTTGGTGGTAAAAAATGTCCACATCAGAGTCTGTTGTGGGATGTATTAGTGAAGTTACGCTTGCAATTAGTAAAGCAAGGGGTTCTCAGTCGGGCAATGTGAGAGTACTTGACAGTCCGGACTCTGATGGATCTGGCCATTCGAATTCATTTACTGTACAGCGATTCAGTTATCCTCAAAATGACAATGCAAACTCAGACATTTTACATCCCCCACTGACTGGTGAAGATTTGAGAATACCAATTGTCGGATATGAAGTTATGGAGGAGAGAGCTAGATTTACGGTTGGTTAAAAGAGAACTTTATCTCTTTGTAGTTTTGTGTTACTGTTCTAATTCATATACATATACATGTATATTATATTTGTTTCCAGGTGTACAAGTTACGTGTAGAATTAAAGAATGGAGACTGTTGGTTTGTATTTAGAAGATATACCGACTTTGTTCGTTTATTATCACAATTAAGAAGGCAGAAAGTACCAGTTGTACATTTAAGTTTACCAAGAAAAAAGTGGCTTGGCGATAATTTTGCCCCAAGCTTTTTGGAAGAAAGAATACGTGGTCTCCAAGCATTTGTTAATGGAATATTAAGCAGTCCTGTGCTTGTAGGAACTGCATGTGTTAGAGAATTTTTCTGCCTTGACGAGCCACCTGCTTTATCCGATACAGCCGAGGAATCTAGAGTAAATATTACTTGTATGAATTTTATATTCCTCGTATCATGGAATAAATAATTGGATAAGTTATTTTTCTGTAGGCAATTTTTGAAGCATTAGAAGATACTATTTATCACTTAAGGCAGCAATTAAGAGAAAGGGATTCAGCCCTTGCAGCTGAAACAGCTTTATGCAATGAACTGCAGAAAAAACTACATCAAATCCTAAGGTGATTGAGCAACACAGCAGTACTGTATATACTTAAGTATTACTTACTGCTTATTATAAATGCCAAATTTTTGTTCCAGTGAAAGACAAACGTGCCCTAAATGTGGTGCATCACAATAACATTTCGTTATGATTTATATGTAAGTTAATTTTAATAAGATATGACGTACTACATAGAGACTGCTATGAATAGATAACTCCACTATTTCTGTTACATTACTGCGTATAAAAATTTGTTATATCGAGAAATTGCTAAAGATGATTAGCGAATTTTATACATTCGTCTACGTACTTTTTATTCTATTGACTTATACAAAGCACCTTAACTTTTACGTGAAGTGACATGTGTAAGATTTCTTAACGTAATATAAGTACATTGAGCTTTCCTAGCATTAAACATCCATCTTAAGTTTAAGAAACCTTAAAGAGGTGCCTTACAGTTTACGGTATATGCTCCATTTTACAGTCGAACTAGCGACTTGACTACATACAAATATATTCCAAAGAGCGTTAATCTTTGGTATTTGATAAAATTTTATATATTTTGTAATGTTCTACATGTTAATAATTATGATGTTTATACAACTATAATTGACATTAATAATATTTATTGTTATGTTATTGTGAAATATTAATTTAATTGAAATGATTGGTATTAAAATATTAGGATAGTTATACTTATGTAAAGATATAATAAATATTTGACACATTCGTTAACTAAATTTTATATTATCTTTACAATAAATTCTATACTATAGTCAATATTTATTATATCTATATGGTTTCATTATTAAACATTTTACAATACTGAACAAGTATGAAAATATTATATAAATACGGACTTTTTTAGTTAAAAAAAAAATGAATAAAAATGTTGTTGAACATTATGATACTGCGTCTTTTGGTGTATATTACTTATTTACAATTGAATGTAAAATGAAACATCAGTCTTCTTTATCTGGAGCGACAACTAGACATAACGCCTGGATCAGGTACGTGACTTTCGCTGAAAAAAAAACCGAGTAAACGCTACACATGTATTAAAATGAAACGAAAGATTAATAACATTTTCCTGGTACAATCCTCACCTGCTAAAGTGCTTCTAACTTTCTTATACACGTACGTGTGATAAATTCCAATACCGCAAACAATAAACAATAGTGCGAACAAGTATTTGGGCGATGGTTCATGTACGATCGGCGTCACAGCCAAGAAAATAGAGATACCCAATACCAGCCAAGGTATCGAAATCGGTACTGCATACGGTCGCGGTGCTTTTGGTTTCGTTCGTCTCATAATAATCAACGATAACATCGCAAGGCCGTAGAATACCCATGTTAAAAAACTTGCAAATTCTATAAGCGCAATAATGTTTCCTACAAGCAGGAAAACAAATGCCAATAATCCCTGGAATCCCACTGCCGCAGCAGGGGTCATCTTTTCCATATGTACGAAGCTGAAAACTCGGGGTACATGACCCTCGCTTCCGGCTACGTAGCAAAGTCTGGATACTCCGAACTGGATGCTAAGACCGCATCCGAAGGTAGATAAAGCGACACCCAGAGGTATCACGAATCCTAGCCAGGGTGGCAGAACTCTTTCCGCCCATAGAACCGCGACAGCCGGTGCGCTAATCATTTCCGGCGTCGTTAGAGCAGCCATGTACATCAGGTTCATTGAAACGTACAAGACAGTAATCAAGGGTACCGCGATTAGAATACTTCTAAGGATGTTGACTTCCGGTTTCTGGATCTCCTCGGTAACGATTGCGGCGGAAGACCATCCGTCGTAAGCCCACAATCCACTATAGAAGGCCAGAGCCACATTACCAGCAGAATGTGTAGTGCCTTCGAATGGATTACTCAATAATTCTGTGTGTCCGGTTAACAACCACCACAATCCACCCCCAATCACGAAGATACACGCGACTATTTTACATACGGTGAATACATTCTGAACTTTCACGTATAGCTTTACGCTGGTCAAGTTGATGTAAGTAATCAAGCTGAGCGCCAGGAGAGCTATTAGTTTTTTCAATGTGAACATCGACTCCGCGGAGAGATCTTTCAAATATCCGGAGAACGGTTGCACACTATATTCGGCGAACGTCAGCATAACTACTGCCACTTCCGCTGGTCGCAAAAGCATCACGTAAACCCAAGAACAGATAAAAGCCGGGATTTCTCCGGCGTAGCGATGAAGGGGCGAGAAAGCTTCAATGAAGTAAGCATATTCGGCTCCAGATCGCGGTACCACTGTGCTCAGTTCGGCGAACGCGAGGGCTCCGAGTAGAGACAGCAAGCCGCAAGAGATCCAAACGATTAAACAAAATCCCACGGATCCTGATCTCTCAAGAGCACTGGTAGGAGACACAAATATTCCGGAACCTAGAAAATAAATAATTTATTTTTAATTCCGTTTACATTAAAAACTATAAAATACAGAAGAAACCTAAAAATAATTATCAGTAAGACTTTCATCAACAAATTGAGTTTCGTGTTCTCATTCAAGTCGAAATATTGTTTCATACTATAATAATATATCGCCGATAAAATGGTAGTGATAAATATCATATCACGTTCTTAGATAAAAGTTCGATTCGTCGGATTCGCCGATCTACCAAGTTTGATTAAAATTGACTAGATATATTTAAGGAGGTTGCCTCGTAATGCTCGAGCGTGTGGGTCAGCGATTAACCCTGATTAACCCCCTTGATTCATAATCGTGTCAAACCTCTGCACGTGTAATTACCGAAATGTTACGTCAGGTCTCGGTATTTCTTTCTGCGCAGAGGTGAAACATACGAGAGTGTACATACATTCAAACCGAAGGAATTGGACGCTAATTGAACGGGGATTGCGTACGCAATCATGTGCATTTGTTCTCAATTTTCGATAATCTTGTTCGATCTAGATTGACCGGATTATACCGAACTAATCTAGATGTTGTTTGAGAAGCTTCATTTGATTGTATCATAATATTCCAGATAAAGTATCAGGTCTAAAATACACAGTCTCGCTTTACGAAAAAATATATTAAATTATTAAAAATCATCCTCATCACAAGTAGTGCAATGTTTGCTCGAAATAATTTTTAAATCAATATTTACTTAGCAAGCTTATCAAGATAAATGCATCAAATAATACAAATATAGTTATAGATCAGTAGTATATTATTTAGACAAGTTAGGCAATTGTTCGAAGAGTTATACGAAACGTTTTCAATGTAAGTAATGAATACATGTTCTTTGAATGACTAAAAAGCAACCCTTTATCGACAAAGAACTGTGAGAAAGCGACGGCCGATGCTTTGAGTCGCTGTTAAAGATCATAAGCTACATCAAATCCATACAATTATTCAATTACAGTTAACAGTTCTCAAATACGATGCTCGGATTTGAAAGCAGCTTTCCAGATTGCTACTGTTACACATTTTTCGAATATCACGGATGTCATAACTCATGTTTGTTATTAATTACAGCATTAATAATGTTCAAAACGAAGATAAATACAATTTACAACGAAACGTTATCTATTTCCAGTGTGTAATTTGCAGAGTGTACACAGAATATTTCATCCTGTTATATCGTCCGCGTATCACGTATTGACAGAAGAAAGGAATGAAATATCTTTAAAAGCACTTACGCGTGGATTTTACACGTTTTACGATATACAAGTGACCGAATTTAAGTAGCAGTTTCTGTTATCATTTTGGAAATTGAATCGCGATAATATCGATATTGATTTCTTGCTATTTGCTCGATTCACCTGTATGAATTTACATTCAAATAAATAAGTAATTGTTACTTTCGCGCACTAGTCGCACATGAAAAATTTATTTTATTTTACATATTACTGAATTCTGTCAAATTGCAGACTTTTTGTTCGACCATTGTAAACGAAAATTCCATTGTGTAAGCATTGAAAAAATGCTGATGGTGCATAAATCGCCATTGTATATTCCCTTATCGTAAATTATCCAACAAGTTGACTCGCGAATGGATAAGTCGATTAAATTGTAATTAAGAATGAGATAAGAACAAAGGACGTAATAAATGGAAATGTGAAGTATGATACCAGCAATTGATGCCAGTTAACTTTAACAATGAACGTTTCGCAGCACCGGAAGAAAAGCACTCGTTATTTAATATTTTTGATGAGGCGTAACTACATAAGAAGCTTGAAAAATTACGTTAAGTGATATTAATTTTAATATGAAACGGTTTCGTTTTCGTACCGATCATAACAGCGACGATGATGCTAACTGCGCTGAAGAGGCCCAGCTCCCGTTTCAGACCAATTTTTTCATTTCTTTCTTCCATATCCTGCCCCATTTTTGCACGCCGTGCGATTTAACTTTTCAACAAGTAGCACAAATTATTTGATTCACCAGCACTGCCACAGAATCGTTGATGTATTTATTCAAATTTACAGATACATCGTGCCTGCCGCACACCCGATTTTCAGACCGCCTTCGATCGGCTCTGCGTTCAATGCGCGTAACGAAGACACGAATCGGCTTCCTCGTGCTTCTTAGAGCCGGATCGAAGACAGCGTGACGTTATCGAAAGATGTCCAGAACGAGACTGAAGTGTTAACGGGTCAGCTAGCCGCTTATTTCTACAAGCGCGCGATGGATCCCGTGATAAGAATACTCTGTCCACGTCGCGGCACGGATATCTTCAACGATCAGTAGCTGATGAGCCATCGGTAGTTCTGACGAATCTATGGGGGAGCCTATGGATACGTAAACTGACAATTTTAGATAAAAGGTTGCATTTCAAACAATGCGTTTATCATAGTTTTCTTACGTTCCTCTGCAGGGTTGGTAAATAACTCAAGCCGAGGTTGAATGATTAATAAGCGTTAAAAGAACTGTTTACATAAAATTTAAAGTCCCATCTATCTGTCTGAGGCCCGTCCGTGCGTGCGTCACCTTTTTGGTAATCAGTCGCATTTTTGGAGTATTGTGAAAGTTATTGATGCAAACAAGGTACGTATGATAAGATAAATCGGATTCCATTCGGATCCTTGTGAAATAATGGTAACACGATGGGAACGCAATATCTCTTGCGCTCACGTTTCTTCGTGGCCTCGTTTTGTTCCCATGCTTCTTCAGCGATGATTAAACTTGTCCGTAATGTTCTTTGTGATTGTGTATTGCATCATACAGTTTTATCGAAAGTACACTTAACAAAGAAAGGAATAATGCTTACTTGGTGCGAGGGAAAATCAACGAAATCATTTATCTGCGAGATGATGCTCTCTCTATATATACATTGATTTGGAACTATTTGAAATTAGGAGAATAACAATTTTTTAATATCTATGTTTACTTTTTGTTATCTAATCTAAAAATTATATGAAATCCTTTGATCTTAAACAATTATTAAAATTGAATTTTTCGTCTCTTACGTCGGGTCTGTTTTATCAGTATTCTTTTATCACTAAAATGCAAATTGGGATATTGAAGAGAAGGGATGATAATAATTGGAAAGAAAAACTGACGTACAGCTAAATATAATACGCATTTTATTAGTTTTATACATTTATACTTTCGTGTAGAATGCAGTATTTGAATTAATGTCCATAACACGTGTCTCGTTATCTGATCGATAAGAGCATGCGTTTAAGGTCTACGTCTACAGCGATGTGAAATCGTGTTGGTGTAAATATTCCCGCGATTTTTGCATTCGTTCTTCCGTATTTATATTCAAATTTATAGTGCATGAAAAATAGAACAACAATTAGTACAGCTAAGTGTACTTATGTGTGTAAACGCTAGTCTTATTTGACGTTCCATTTTAAGTGTTCATCCCGTTTAGCGGATGTAAAGCTCACGTGTCACAGTAAACACGCGTATATCTAACCTGTCGAGCACGCTAAATCTGCTAACTATTCATTAGTGATGGAAGATGAGGAACGGAAATATCAAGACGAGGAGCCGAGCGAATTTTATTTTGAATCCGATCATTTAGCGTTAAAAGGGAATAAAGATTATACGACACTTTTGAAGACGATCGTCATTCTCGAAGCGCAACGAGTTCAAGCTATAGACGATCTGGATAAGCTTTTATCAATTCGTACAAAAGCACTGAAGGATCCGATATCTTTCGTAGCTCAGATACAAAACGGTGAGCTTCCAGAACTACCGGGACCGCAAAAAATTGCTGAAATCCCTTATATTGATTGGTCTCAATATAATGTAGCTACACCTGATATTCGCATGAGACCACAAACGAGGCATGGAAATATTCTGCCTCATGTACAAACAAAAACAGAACAAGAGAATGGAAGGGTATGTTGCACTATATGTATAGATTTCGTAAAAATATGAAGTCTGTTAGATATACATATGTATATTAATTCATATGAATGCAGATTTTAGTACGAGGACGTGCTTTTGATGAGAGCAAACCAGAAACTTTCAATCAGTTATGGACAGTAGAAGAGCAGAGGAGATTAGAAGAACTTTTAATTGAATATCCACCAGAGGAAGTAGAAATGAGAAGATGGACCAAAATAGCCAATGCTTTAGGTATGATTTTGTTTCTTATGCTTTCATCATTGAATTAATGTTAATTCTTTACAGGTAATCGAACTCCAAAACAAGTGTCCAGCAGAGTACAGAAGTACTTTATTAAACTCTTAAGGGCTGGATTACCTATACCAGGACGAGGTCCAAAAATGAAATTAGATGCTAAGAAAGGACTTGGTCACAGGCATCAACGTAGTAACTATTCATTATTTAGGCGATCTACATTCTTTCCACATCAAGACATGTCTTTCACGATGCCTGATGAAGGCAAAGAACAGCCAATTACAGAAGAGTCTGTATGTATTCATTTGAATGTTATCTCCCAACACACATCTATACAATTCGAGTTATTAAATATTATTTCCTATGTTTGTAGGAGGATGATGTTGGTAACAATCTTATTGATGATAATCCAGAATTAAGGCAAATAGAATTATTAAGGCAAGTGAAAGCTGAGAAAGAACAAAATCCATCTCCTGTATTTAAACACGTTGGATACAAGGTACATAAATTGTTTCTCAAGGTACACAAAATGGACTTAAAGTTCAACAGCTCCTTTCTTTTACAGTGTTCAGTGTGTGGGGAAGACCCACTAACGGGTACCCGATGGCATTGTGCAGAATGCCAAGATCGAATCGACTTATGCAGTGACTGTGCGGTGACACAATTGGAAGCTGAGAAACCGCTACATGATACATTACATAGACTAATTCCTATAAAACCACCTCAATATACTAGGAATTACGATTTAGATTATTTTCCACAAAGTTTCAGTAATTCTTCTTACAATTATTTAGATCCTAATTTTTTACCGGAATAAGGCATAAATGATGCAAATATGCTTTGGTATGATTTTTACATGTGAGGCACTCACAATGAGAACATATTGGAGAAAAGTCATCCACGTATCTGTAACGAAATATTCATTATTAATTGCAGATAAAATTTTAAATGTTAGTCTTACATTACCTTTCTCTTTTAAATGATATTACATGTCCTCCATTGTTACAATTACTGTGATCACATAAAAAAGTTAAAGCCTCTGCATTTTCAGTGATCACATAGGGATACGACGTATCAAATATATCTATGCCTAATCCAACTAGATCTAATACTGTAAGAGGATTCCAACATCCCATTAATACTCTCAGTTTTTCAGGGGGTAACAAATTCTGCAAAGATCATAGATCATTAGAAAGAACAATAGATGTTTGTGGAGAAGTTCTTACTTACAACTGTATGTTCTATTATTTCCTGAATTTCTTCTGATGATGTATCTTGTACATCTGGTCCATTATTATGCAACCCATCAATCACGTATCCTATTATAGGTTTATCTTTTAAATAGTTTATTGACAGTGTTCTACATTGCTTATCATAGCCACCTTCAACAACACCTAATAATTCTGAGGATTTTAATGCTTTGGATGATGAATGTTTTATAAGGCATTGTTCAAAGAATGTTTCACTTCTTTGCACAGCTTTCGATAATCTTTTTTTACTGCTATTCTTATTAGTGTCTCCATCACATAAAGCGACATACATATCTGGTTTAAATGCTTCAACAACATCCATGTATTCGTCTGGTGTCAATACACATTTTCCACTTCTTGTCCATATAGGAACAGAATTGATAGACTCTCGATGCCCTGATGGTGTAGTAAATGCTGGATCATGTATTGTAAGAAGACTGATATATTCCTAACATGAAATAAGTTTGTAATTAAAATTAATGCTAATGGGTTTAATATCATTTTACGATAACACACATATTTTACTACTTACTTTCATGGACACAAAATTTGCAAAATCAGTATTAGTGTCTTTTATTGATTCGAACATTGAAAGTGTGGAGTTGAGTGAAACAGATAGCATCTGCGGAGTGGATGTTACCATTTTAAAGACATCCTTAGTTAGATGTGGTACACTACCAGCCTTGAAAAAGTGTAATTACCTTTACTTATTTGTATTCTTCTTGTCAAGTTAAAAAAAATCTAAATTTTACCTTTGTATAAATAAGGGCAAGAGGAGTATCAAAACTGCTGTTAGGAATTCTTTCAAACTCGGTCAGTGTACCAATCCGTGCGGTACAAGACTTTATTGAATTAGTAGTGAATTTCATATTGATTTTTATAAATATCAATCACTATTTGAAAATTAAGCACTATACCGAATCATTATGATCAAATAAGTGAATCTTTTAATAAAAATAACCTTACAAAGCTTTACCACGTGCTGATACATAACTTATATGACTATAATGTGCTATGACTGACTAGTGAATAGATTGAACTACGAAGAGACTAGAGATTAGATAGTGAAGCTAGATATGCAATGACAATCTTATGATGTAACGATGTAATTCTAAATGTGTGATCATATCGAGGTGTTACGCGATGGGTGTCGCCGCTGGGTGGATTTGCACTGAAAAAAAATAAATATCATAGCATAGCGTTTGAATTTGAATATCGACATTCGATATTCTAATGTTCATTATAAAGAGGCATGAGTAATGACTTTTTTAATTACTGTTATTGATTTATTTAAGGACCTATAGGCTATACATATACTTAAACAATGCTGGCATGTTGAATTTGTTATTATAGATTCCTATTACTATTAAAAATCTAAAATTATAG